TGCAAAAGGAACAGAAGCACTATTAACATGAATCAGCCAGCGGCTTTGGATGTGGAGTTCCCATAAGCTCAGAGAGAGTTTCAGGGAAATGTATGTGAGGGGAAATCGGGAGCCTTTCCTAGATCTTGCAGCAAAAAATTCTGCAGTTTCATTGTCTTAATGATGATGACATCCTGGCCTCTCCCACCAGGTGTCACTGCGAAGTCACACAAGAGGATCTGCTGGTGATCACACAAGACGCAGACAAAATGAAGATTAATAAGGCATCTCTGAAAAAGACTCTTTTTCCTCTCCTCCTCCTCTTGGATCCTAGCCAAAAAAGAAACACAGCAACACCGCTGTGCGTTAAGCTCAACAAAGCAGAGTATCTGTTTTAAAGGATGACTGTGTAAAGCTCATACTACTCAAGATATTTAAATGTGTGCTGTGGGAGCTGGGGCTGGGGTTCAGCTGCCAGGAGAGGTTCCCTATTGATGTCTGAGGATGAGGTGATATCCAGATGAGACATCCCAACCACGGTGTCAGGACAAAGTCTGGAATGGGGATTCTCACTTTGAGATGATCTTGAGATGTAGAGACTTCCAGATTTAGAGACTACCTCTGATCTTCTGATCCTCTGACAGTGACACGAGATAAGGGAGTAACTCACTAGCAATTCTTATTTTTTAACTCAGTTCTTACTTTTTAACTCATGTGCTATTCTTACCAAAGTCCCTAATAACCACAGATATGTCCCACAGAACAAGCTGCAAAATTCTTCCTTTGTTTTTCTACTTCCTACTCCAATATCTGATATATGCAAACTCCTCATGTCACACTTCATGCATGGCATAGGACCATCTACAGGTGAAAATCCTTCCTTCCCCTCCCAGCAGTGGCAGAAGCACACACCACTGTGTCACATCCTTGATTTCCAAGCATGCACTTAGAGCATAACACCAGAAGTTATCCAACTTTTTCTGTGGACACAAAGGAGACCACGCCAGGAATTTCTAGCAGTGCAGCCCAGAGGAGGCTCCTGTCCTCACCCTTGCTGGGCTGCTCCTGGTCTGGCAGCAACATGCCAGCATGGAGGGAAATCCTCCTGCCCCATGCCCCAGGATTCAGCATCACATAATCCCAAAATCAACAAATTTCCAAACTGCAACACATCTCAACCTTCTTTTGTCACTTAACATACTCGTGGAGGTGACCTCCATCAGAGTGCCTTGCTGCCACCCTTCCTCACAACAGCTGAACAGCCTTTCCAAGTGCTTGGGAGTAAATTAAAACACTTTAATTACACCATGACAGAATTAACTTCTGTGGAAGAGTGCTCTAAAAAAAGCATATATAAATGAAATTAATTTTACCTGCAATTTACTTTATAAATGCACGTTATTTTTAAGATATTACTACTTATATACAGAACATATAAATATTCTTATCTTATTGCTTTGGAAGTCCTTTTTGCTACACCAGGACTTGCTTTAAAATTATCTGTAAGACTTATCATTGCTAAAACATATTCTCAAACCAACAATGATCATACAGCAAACTGAAATAAAAACCACTCTGCTGCTGTTATGCATTTAAATGTGTAGCTGATTTCAGTGGCGGAACTTTAAACTCTTTTTTATAGGATATCACTCGATTTTAGTACAAGCATTTATCAGGCACAGCTCTGAAAATGTTAAGTCAGACTATGAAAACATTGTCAGTGCTTTTTTTAGTAATAAACCCCATGCTTAATCTATGCTTTCATGTTACAGTAATCTATGTATCAATCTATAACCTTCCAGCTAAATGCACTAAGCAGATTAAGATCTGATTGATTTGAAATGTTTTTCACTATATTATCAAAAGTCTACAGATCAGCATAAATACCTCGAAGAAATTTTTTCTCCTTTGGCAGATTTACAAAAGCAGAGCTTAACTTGAATTGAAATGAACTTCTGCATTTTTCCAGGGCAAAAAGCCTGTCAAATTTACTCTAGATCTGCCGTGCTTCTGGACTCTGGAAAAAAACCTGTGGCTCTTGTCGTAACAAGAGTGATGACGTTGTGAAGAAAAGTGTCCCCCTGGGCCTGCCATGCCTGTGAAGTGCCAGGGGTCACCCCAAAGGGTGGCACTGCTGGGTTCCCACCTGCAGAGCTCACTGTGCAAACAGCTCTAGAAAGGGAAGGGGGCATTGCTGTTGGTGTGCTCCTGCTACGTAGATAAAAGTAGTTAAAAGTCATCTTCCTCAAATAGAAAACACCGAGTTTTATTTTCTGTGCTGCATTTAGGGGAAGTGAGAGGCAGGTTGTGATCTGTCGCAGTGACCCAGCGAGGAGGCTCTGCTGTGGCTGCCAGGGGTCGCAGAACTTCAGCAACAAAAAGAGCATGGGAGGGAAGAGGAGTGTGCTGAGCTCTCTGCGATCCTGATTGTCACAGCTCCCTTGCAGCCTGTCTGCTGGAGCTGGCTGCACAGATGGAGGCAGATTCCTGCATATGCTCACAGCTCATCCTGGTAGCTCGCTGAGACGGCGGCGCTGCAAACAAACACGGGCTGAGCATCCCACCCAGCTCGGCTGGGGAGGTGGGGAAGGCACGGCTACAATCCACAACAGCAATGGGTGAAGGGCAAAAAAAATAGTCTTGAGGTGGCACAGTTCAGTCTTTGTCAAGTTTTCAGCATTTCCAGTCAGGTAAGTTTGGATGTAAAATGTTGTCCAAGTTTATTCCACTGAAGAGGTGGCATCCAAGAAAAGGAAAAACAAAGGTGATAGTGTGTTGGCAGAATATCCCAGGTTAAAGCTCACTGGCAACAACCATAACTGGATTCTCTTGGTCCCCACTGGGGAGGTGTCTCTCATTTCTCAATTGTCCTTATCCATTTATGATCCATGAATATCCAGCTTCTCCTGGATCCTGCTCCATCCATCCACGCATGAAGAGAGCTGGTGTTTGAGCTCTGCAGACCCAACAACACCATGGTCCCACAGCTTGTTCCAGCACCTGGCACAAGTCCTCAGTCCTGACACCAGTCCCAGCTTCCCCTCCATGAGGATTGCACAAGTGATGACAAGAGAAGGAGCTCAGCTCACACAGTTCAGCTCTGGATTTGATTTTGGATTCCCATTAGCTGGGAATGTTTAAATCAGGCTCTCCTGTGGGATCTTCTACACCTTGCTTGTGAAATAAGAGAATATTTAGTTCAATATTAACTGCATTAGGACACGAAGTGACATTTCCAAATCCTAATTTCTTTCAAACATGCTCCCAGTGAATAGCAGGTTCAGTGGTCCTAATCTGCTTCGTGCCCCACAGGTTACAGAACCTGGCTTGGGATAAACAGACTACTCGATCAAACATTCACTTCTTACCCTAGCACATTAACATAAAGTTAACAAGCAAATTCATTACAGAGGGCAAACCTGAAAGTCAATGTCAGCCAAGAAATTGCCTGAGCAATCCTGTAATTGAATAAAAATATGTGTCAGCAAAACAAGTGTCATCCTGGGCTTGCTGGTGTGCTCTGAGTTCACGGGCTTGACAAACTCCTCTCAGTGTGGTGCTGTGTGTGAGACTCTGCAAGGAGACCTGATGTACTAAATGATGTTTATCAGCCAAATATGGGTAGTAGTAGTAGGCACATTTGACCTACAGAGTCAAACAGCCTGCCCACAACTTCACCACCAAATTAATAAATAAAGTGAAAGAAAATTTGCTAACTTCTTAGTCACTTCTCTGGTTACAAAGTGCTTTCACAGCACAAGGAGGACATTTACTTGCAAATATACTGTATTATAGTAGAAACACGTATTTAAATACATATAAAAAATAAACCCCTATCAGATTTTTCCACTGATGTGTTTGATGAGTTTGTACAATGACTTATGGGATCAGCATTTTGGGAGGGGAAAACAAACTAATTTATTTTAATTTCCTCATTTCTGAGTCCAAGGGCCCGGGTTTAGCTGCGATAAAGACCAATTTAAGTAGTGATTCCTATTTTTACACCAATTAACTCTTGTAACCTATTCTGTTCTATTAAGCCTCAGAAAAACCTGTGAGCAGCCAACAGGACACAGTTAATAGATGTATCTGGAAACTTTATCTCTGCAGAGGTAAGAAAACCTTGGGACTATGCTGGGACCTGTGGGAGAAAGTGTGACTTTAGAGGGAAGCTGTGTCACAGGAAAGAGACACTGCCAGCTCCAAAAGAAGGAACTGCTGGAACAGCAGCATTAGTCAGCAACAGAGAGAGAGGGATGCATGATACATACCTGGTTTTTATATATATACATTTGTGTGTGTGTGTATGTATTACAATTTTTATCCTGATATATTAGTTTAGAAGTTTAAAAGCCTAAAGCAACCTCCAAAAGAACTGGGGGTGGTGAGGATCCTCTCCTAAGCTAATGAGCTGCTGAGATCACTTTTGAAGCAGCTGCTCCCAGACACCTAAATGGCCATTTGCCAGCTGAAAGGATCAAAGAAAAGCAGTGCTCCAGAGATGACCCTCCACCCTGTCAGGCCCATTTTCACAGGGAAGAAGCCAATTACTGGGGTCTGCTTTTAGAAATTTTTTTTAGGTGGCAAGATCTGGGCAGCTTCCAAGGCCCGCTTATTTCTGTGGAAAACAGCTAATCAAGTGAAATTGTTTCCTTACTTTCTCCTTTAAGATAGAACCCCTTTCCCTCCCCATTTCTGTCCTTTTCTGTGGTTTCAGAACTGGCACGTCCATGAGTGATTGAAGGTGCCATTAAATAATGAAGCAGTTCTGTTCATTAAAGCCTAGTGATTGATTACCTTGGGACTAAGGGAAAGAAAACAGCCTGAAAACAGAATTCTTACACCATTTCACATTATTTCCAGTCCAGCACATCAGGCACTGTTAGAATAGCAGGTTTTCAGCTCCATGGTCCACCAGTGCCCAGAAATGAGATGCTGGGTGTCTAATTCCAGCAAGGTCTGTAATTCTAGAGTGTAACTTAAACTCATAACTAACTGCTGGCCTAAATGTTGTGTCCTACCTTCATAGAGCCAGTCGCTGAGCCCATTGAAAATAACACCTTCCTTTCCTGTGGAGACCACTCGGATGGCTTGTTTCCCCACATGGGCACAGTAATAGATGTTATTCTCAAAGATAAATATCTGATTTGAAGGGAAAAAAAAAAAAAGAAAGAAAGAAAAAGAGAACAGCATTAAGAAGTGGCTCCAGCACAAAATTTTGCATTTTGCTTTGACAATAATTGGCAGTACAAAATCACACATCACAATTTTATGGCATCTTTTGCAAAAAAAAGGATTTCCACAGCTTGCTTCCAATGCCACCCGTTAATAGAAAGATGCTAATTTACAACAAACTGAAGCTTTGGTGTTTTGATACAAGCTTTATTTCTCTCACTCCTGTCTTAATTTCAGAAATTGAACAGTTCAGTTTGAGGGCATGAGATGAAGAATGCCATTGCTCAGGTTTTGAGAGTTGTTAGAGCTATTGCTGTGAAATGCTCCTGTGAATCAGGCTCTTTATTTATGTGTTGAAATGCTGATCAGGAAGTAAAGCTTTAGCCAGCCAATAATAAAAATATTGTTCCATGGCATCAGTCTATCATGTGGTTAAATTGTTCTGTGTTCCTCTGTCATTGATAGCACATTCCTGTCCCCTCACCCTGAAGTGAAACACATCTTGCTCCAAGTAGAGTCACAGAATCACAGAACCACTTGCTTGTAAAACACCCTTAAAGTCTTTAAGGTCCCTTCCAACCCAAACCATTCTATGATTTTAAGATCACTGAGTCCAAGCATTAACCCAGCACTGCCAAGCCCAGCCTCCTTTCAGGGACTTGTGGGGAGTGATGAGGTCCCTCTGAGCCTCCTTTTCTCCAGCTAAACCCCAGCTCCCTCAGCCACTCCTCACAAGGCTGGAGCTCCAGACCCATCCCCAGCTCTGTTCCTTCTCTGGATCCAGCATCTCTTTCTTGTTGTGAGGGAACTGAACACAGGATTTGAGCTGAGGCCTCCCCAGTGCCCAATACAGGGGAACAATCATTGCCCTGGTCCTGCTGGCCACACCATTTATGATGCAGGCCAGGATGCCTTTGGCTTTCTTATCCACCTGGGCACACCTGGCTCATGTTCAGCTGCTGTCAACCAGCACCACGAGGTCCTTTCTCACAGGGCCACTCTCCAGCCATTGTGTCCCCAGGCTGTGGCACTGCCTGTGATTGTTGTGACCCAGATTCAGGACCCAGCACTTGGCCCTGTTAAAACTCACACCTCTGGCTCTTTTTGTAGATGGCATCACATTTCCTGTCCTCCAGTCACCTGGGCCCTCCCCAGTTAGCCAGGACTGCTGGTGAAGGGTGGAAAGTGGCTCAGGGAGCACTTCTGCCAGCTCCCAGTAGCCTTGGAGAGATCCCATGCATTCCTGTAGATTTGTGTGTGACTAAGAGCTGTGGCAGGTCACTGACACTTTCACCTCGTGGGAGCTTTATTCTGCTCCTCATCCTCATCTTGAATGTATTTTTAAACTCTATTCAAACTGAAAAGATCTACTGAACAAGCAAGCTATTTAGACTGAAATGCAAAATGTTAATATAATTTAGTAGACATTTATAGATGGGTTTTTATACACTTGAAGATACTGGAATAAATGCTATGTATCTTTATTGTGATACTAGAAAGCAATTTCTCACATTATGAAAAGACAGAATCGGGAAAAATATTTGCTTTCATCTTCTGTTTCACATCCTATTACGGTATATGTTTCACCCAAAGATAAGCTGGAAACATTCCAGAAGAAAGCATAGATCTTAATTTAATTTTGGCAGGAGTTATAGCAGGTTTGCCTGAAAGTAAAAATTATTACTGAAACTGTAGATTGCTCTTCTTCCTTTTAAACTAGGAAAAGCTGCATTCATTGAATAGATTTGGAATGCAAAAATACATTGTGGAAGATACTACATTCTCTTTCCTACCTTGAATTTTAGTAAACAGAACAGCCAGATAAGGGATTCCAAGTAAAGAATTCTATGTATTAGCTAATCTGCATATAGGGAGGTTGTTGGAGTTTAAATGTGCATAAAAATTGTGAAGACTAAGCAGAATAAGATACTCAGGGTCCAAATAAATCCAAATCTCTATGTCTGAGTACTAAATGTGCTAAGGGGTACTTGGGTAAGAGCTCTTCTGTGACAGGCACAGAATCAAGTGGATTTATTCAAATGATGGAACCCTCCCCTTGCCCAGATTTTTCCAGCAAAATAAGGTTTGCAATATTTTGTACTACAGTCAATGTTTTATGAGTTTACAGGGAAAATAAAGAAAGTGGATTGACAACCTGTTCCCACCCTTCCCTTTTAAAGTATTGCAACATTTCCATCTTCACTGTCTGGTCTTTCAAAGCTTCATTGCACTCATCAGGCTGTGTGAGGTATCTGGTAGCTGCAGTGGAAAAATAATATACTGCTCTGACTTCAAACTGTCTCTCAGATAATTCAGAGCCAAACTGCAGCACCTCATGGAGATTTAAAAATTATCCTCCTAACTACAGTGCCTTGTACCCTAAAAATGTCAACCATAATCACGATAAAAGATAACTGAAGCAGCACAAGGAAGATTTCTGTGTAATGTATCTTATAAATTAAGAAAAAGCATTTGGACTTCTGTTATTCATCAAGAAAGAAATGTCTTTGGATTACCTCACATCCCTTGTTAGAAACGTATTTGAAGTTATTGTGAAATACCTGTGTAACAATGTTTACTGCTTTGTTTTCATGGCATCAAAGCAGTGCTTTCTATCAAATGATCAATCCTGTCAGCTAATTAGAGGATAAGAAATTTTAGCAAAGAAAAATAGTAAAAATATATACAGACATAACTTTTACATTACTTTATGCCAGCAGTGCATAGCACTCCTAGACAAATTTACAATGATGACAGAAGGGATAAAGCTCAGTTTTATGCCTCTCTGTTCAGGAGATAAAAAGCAGAACATAAATTTCTGGTGTCTTTTCTTTTGGTGTGCATATTTGAGTAAGATTTTAACTCAGACATTCTTGCAATATATGTGCCTTAAAATCCAACACTGAACACAACTACTGGCATGGAAAACCAAGCTGTGCTGAGTCAGGAAGAGCCCTGTGTTGAATACCATATCCCTTTTCATCATGACACATTCAACACAGAGGAAAGAGAATATATTCTGAAAGAAGTAAGAATGGAAATATCCATACATAGATTGAAGAAACAGAAATTGCTAACTCTACAGAAAAATCAAGGACGACGTAAGTTCTACAAGATAATGGACAGACACAGAATACAAGAAAAAATGTATTTTCACCATTATATTTCTCAAAAACAACAGGCAAACCAATGAAACTAGAATATTTTTCCTAATGAAATCAGAATTAACATATGGAACTTCTTGCCACTGGTTCTAGCAGAAGACCTTTCTCTCTGCTGGGTGTTTTAACAGATGCCCAAAAGATTAAACACTTAACAAAAATAACTGGAACATCTGAGGGGATTAAGGAAAAGTTTGGGGTTTTTCAAATGCATTCACTTAATCCCAGGATAATAAAAATCAATGGAGATTTTGCTGTTGGCTTTATGTGGCTCAGGATGTAACTTTCAGCTATAACCCCTTTAGCCTCAGGTATCAGCACACCACTAACTCCTGTGGTCTGGGAAGAAATCTCTGCCCGTTTGCAACTGGTGTTAGAATTCATTACCCCAAACCACTTGACATCCTTGCACGACACAACTAAAACTGGAGAAAAAAAGATGAGGCTGCTTGGAGCACAAGCATGAGACAGGAAAAAAAGCCAAAGCTTAAATATCCAGTAAGATAAATTTATACAGTAGGGTAAATATTTGATCTAACAACAAATTAAACTTAATTCACTTCAAACATACAAGAGCCTTAACGACACTGATTGATTCAAGGATTTATTTAAAATCTTTTTGCAACTGCTTAGGGGTTTCTAAAATAATACTCTCTACCAAACTGACCCAGAGAGGTATTCAGCAATTATGCTGCATTAATTAAAATATTGGTACTTTGAAATGCATAAATTTATGTATCTTTTCAGGAATATAATTTTAAAAACTCCTTAAGACTTAGAAAGTCCCAGTGACCAACTATTCTGAGTAGGTGAACACTACACCTCCTTTTACAGTTGGTCAACCCACTTTCCCTCCAGCCAAAGAGCTGAGTGAAATTCCTACTTCTCCATAGATCAAAAGAAGACAAATCCATGCACACTAATCTGCATTTTCACTGCTCCTAATTATTTTCTATCTGTAGGGTGGCATTCTAAGTTTATGTTCTCTTTACTCCACAATTTCTAATGTATAACTTGTCAACTGAATGAGCTGTATCACTCAAATTTCTCTTAAATTTAATGCCTGGATGCTTGTTACTTTCAGTTATTAGCACGTTGAGAAGTGTAAATGTTTCCTACATGTTAAAAGGCACCTTTCCACACTGCCAGGAGAGCCCACAGGATTTATCTGGGACAGAATAGGTAACATGGAAAGGTTGGCACTTGGACATGGAAGGTTTGATTAACAAGAACTGGCTTTCATGCACAGACAGGCACCAAAACTTTCCTTGATACCGAGTGCTGGGTTTGGCTGGGGTAGAGTTAATTCTCTTCCCAGGGGCTGGTACAGGGCTGTGTTTTGGGTTTGTGCTGAGCACAGTGTAGATAATACAGAGATATTTTTGTTATTGCTGAGCAGGGCTTACACAGAATTTTCTGCTTTTCGTGCTTTTTTTGGTGCTTTTTCTGCTTTTTGTGCTTCCCAGCACCCCAGAATAGGGTGCTGGGAAGATGGGAGGAGACAGAGCCAGGACAGATGACCCAAACTGACCCAAGGGTTATCCCAGACACTGAGCATCATGGTCAGTGTATAAAGTGGGGGAAGAAGAAGGAAGAGGGGAACTTTTGGAGTGATGGTGTTTGTCTTCCCAAGTCACTGATACATGTGATGGAGCCCTGCTCTCTCCTGGAGATGGCTGAGCACCTGCCCAGCCATGGGGAGCAGGGAATTAATTCCTTGTTTTTCTTTGCTTGTGTGCACAGCTTTCTCTTTCCCTATTAAACTGTCTTTATCTCCACCCATAAGTGCTCTGGGTTTTACTCTTC